AAATGGCACGACTCATGTTTGTGACGACAATCACGTTACTGGCTACTCTTCATCGATGCTGTAAGTGACCGCTGCATCCTATCTAGTATACATAGGATTAGAATAGACCGGAAACATTTAAACAGGGATGTAAGTGTGCATGGAAAATAATAAACAGAAGATTGTCGTAGGGACTTACTTAGTAGGAGAATGAAACATAACATGTCAGGAAAGCGATGGTCCTTGAGCCAAGAGAGCGTTGCTGGCATTCACCCGACAGACACAGGTTTTTTTTTCGAGCGTGCGTGGGTTTTCAACTTACTGGTCGTTAATATTTAGTCCAGGAGCAGGTTAGATGCACAACATAATATGCATTTTGCTTGCCCTCTCGATGATAGTCTCTCTGTTCTATCTCCCGAATAAAGCAAAATATGACCAATTCGCGAAGTAAATGTTATTCCAATTTTAGAAGACGCGTTTTAATTTCGATTTTTAAATTTTCCCGTTAATTATGTTCGCTCTTTGGGTTAAAATACAATACTCACAGCAATGTCCATAATATATGAGGAGCTAGATTTTCATGACTTCATAACAGAATTTTGGTGTCACAGCCGACCTCTGCGATTGTGCAATCACACCGGAAACGAATTGAAGTGATTTAACACTTCGCACTGTTCAACGTTTCGTGCTTTGTCGTTCCTTACATTGCGCATCATTTTTCTTATTTTCTGCTTTCATTTGCTCAGTGATCTTTGACTCTGCATGTATCAATTTCTTTAGGTTTCTTCGGTTTGCAGGCCCTTTCCGAGAGCAAGGTTTAGTTGTTTTTAAGCAGAAGTTATTTGAACTATGACGGCTATTTAGCTGTAGACGTTGCTTCAAATACAACACAGCTGATAACACTGAATGGAGATTGCACCGTCCTGTAAGTCCCATGAAAAAAAAGATGCCACAAATGGCGTCCACCGTGGAACTCTATGAGACACTGACATGCAAGAGTTAGAAACTTCCTTATGCGGCAATTTCAGACCGAAAAGTTTTGCGTTATTTTCTTGATGATAGAGGGCAGTGGAACTCATTGGTACCGATCTCCGCCGAATCACCAATAATGACTGTCGGTCACTTACAGCTCTCTTTTTGCAAGGCATTTTTTGACTGAGCACCCCGTACTATGGGTGCTGGATTTTGTCGCCTGTCATTTGATCATTACGTAGTCTGATACGGGTCACGCGAGACAGCTTGGACAGACAGTTTGTGACAGCTTGGATTTGTTTTATTTTTTCGGTATATGTCCATAAAAATGCCTATACAGGGACATAAAAGAACACCGGAAATATAAAATTTGAAAATATCGACGTAGTATCTAGTTTTGGTAGATCTCGGACAGCAATGCCCCGGAGTACGTGTAATTACATGACC